AAACATTCAGCTGCTCCAAACGCTCGTTCACTTCGTTGTGGGTAGCACTTTAAATGTTAAATCATTGTTTTCATCCTCTAAGCACATAATTTAAACCTGTCTTAAAATATTCCCCAGCAGCCATTATGGACTTAAAGATTCCCAAAGCAAGAGATGCTGCAAAAATCTCCAAAATGCCATTAAATGACGGCACATGGACTTTTTTTTTTCTCACAGACGGTTCGAGTCAAAACCGTTTCAGTGTTTCAAACAGGGTTTCTCAGGTTGCTCGCTCTGTCCTCCGATGTACCCCTCCTTCCTCTCTTCGCCGTTCCAAACATTTTATATTTAAACCATCCTCCCCTAAATATGTCATATTGGCTAGCTTGTGTTCCTTATTTTAGAATTAAGGATGCAAAGAGAGAATCAGATTTAGCTGTATTGCTTCTGCCGCTGTGCATGCACATACACACAAACACGCACATATCATTTCTGTACCTACACACACACACACACAAGAATTTTTTTTTTCACATGATGAGGCCACAGACATTCTGCACTTAATTTCGAAGGCATGGTTAGTGGAGACACAGGTCAAACACAATGAGGCTCTTTTATCTGCGTTTCCATCTTTTTCGTTTTTTCTCTTTTTTTAACCCGGTCATTGGCGGGGAGGAAGAGGCCAGTGGAGAGTTCTGGTTAGGGGGAAGATTTTAACCTCCCGTTGCTTTTCGTTGGTTCTTAGATATGTGCGAGCTTCACAAATGAATTCCCTTCTCATATAATGTAAACAGGAATGTAAGCTGACAGGCGTCGATTGACTCGAGGCGAACGTTTGATCCGATGCAGGCCGGGTCTGTTTCATTTCTTCTGATTAGAGAGTATGACTATGGTGCCATTAAACTGATGTTCATGATTGTTAGATGGCTATCTGCTTTTACGTCATTCTCCGCTCCTGTTTTCTTCGTGGAATTTAAGCCAATCGTTCGTTCACGTCTATTTTTCTTCGTCTTTCTCCAGCGGAAATGGACGGCCTGTCCGACCTCTCCCCGCCCGGCTCTAACCACAACCACAACCACCTGAGTTTTTCCCAGCAGCAGCAGCCGATCCCCGGCAGCACAGCGGAGCAGACTCCTTCGTCGCCGGTGCCGCCGCTGCCTCACGCTCCGCCGCCGCACGGCGGTCAAACGGGAGGCCGACAGCCCCAGCTCCCCGGTCTGCATCACCCGGGCTTGGTGTCCACACCCATCAGTCCCCAGCTGGTCAACCAGCAGCTCGTGATGGCGCAGATCCTCAACCAGCAGTATGCAGTGAACCGGCTGCTGGCGCAGCAATCCCTGTCACAGCAGTACCTCAACCACCCACCCGTCAACCGCAGCTCCCACACCAAGCCTCTGGAGCCACAGGTGGCGTCGAACACAGAGGTTTCCTCTGAGATTTACCAGTGGGTGAGGGACGAGCTAAAACGGGCCGGCATCTCACAGGCTGTCTTTGCCCGTGTGGCCTTCAACAGAACACAGGTGAGGAGGTCAAACTGTAACAGAACTGACCTCAATCAGTGGCTTTTATTTACAATGTATCATTTTTTGGTCTATTGCAATTATTTAATGCATCTGCCTACATCATACAGTCTTCATTCATTTTTTATCAATACTGTGTATATTCAGATGTTAATAAAGTATTTAAAATATGGAAAAGGTGCCTTTACATCCCCTTAAAGTTCTTTAGTTGTAAAATCAAGTGGCACCGGTGAAATTCAGCCAAATACTCCCAACCAAAATCAAACCAAAAACATCAGCTTTTATCTCCCGTAGTAACACGTCGAGTGTATATCTTACAACAACATCCTGTTTGAAAAGGAAGCGTTATCATTTCTACAATTTCACGAGATCTCTCTCGCTATGAAATGTTAGGAAAGGCTTCTGTATGAATCCGCTGCTTATTCATGATTCTCACACACTCCAGTAGTCTAGCACCTCTGCTTCACTCGAAGACAGCTGGCAGGCTGCCATGTGAAAGACCCAGGTTCGGTCATGGCATCCGTTCTCTCTGCCAAAAATATGTGGTTTCACTGCAGAGTCAGAGGCCTAACAGACATATCAACAGACACGCAGATGGCAGCGTTAAAGCCTTAAGACGTACTATCTGTGTCGGGGGGGGGGTTGACGACAAACCTCGTTACTGCTCCGTTTTCTTTGAAGTTCTATATGTGAATAAGAAAAGGGGG